ATCAGGTTGTGCTGCACCCTCCTTCCTCCTCCTCCTCAGTCCTGTGGTCTGCTATGATGCTGACCTGGTCGCAGTGCTCAGGGGGCAGCGAGACTGGGTAGATGAAGGGGTTGAAAGGCAGCAGAGACGGAGGGGGCAGGACACACACCTCTTTAAAGTGTGGCGGCAGCACGACTTCTGGGCACAGGAACTTGGAGATTTGTTTCCAGTAGACCACCAGAGTCACCACCAGAGCCACCACCACAGCCATGACCACAAATGCCACCACGGCCGCCACCCACGGAGCTGCATCCACTGTAAGAAAACCACACGGCAGCAGGTGAGCCCATCAGCGACACCTTCAGCGATTGTGACGGCTGTCTGATCAAAGTGCCTACCGTCACCGGTGCGCTCACAGACGACGTCGCTGTACTCGCCCGGTCTGGGGTTCATGTCATAGATGATCTGGACTTGGACGCAGTATTTGCTCATCGGGTCCAGGTCACTAAGAACCACTTGGTCCTGCTTCGTTTCAAGGATCTTTTTTACCTGTAGGAGGCAGCAGAGAGGAGGTCAGAGGTCTTCAGTATCTGTTTTTATTCTTTGACACAATCCAGATCAAAAGTTTAAAACCACTTGAAAAATAGCAAAAATCATATTTTGCATGGCTGGAGCTTAACAAGGTTCCAAGTAGAGCTTCAACATGCAACAAGAAGAAATGTGACACAAAACAACACTTAAACTGAAACAGGCTGTTTTACAGCTCATCAAAAGTTTAGGACCACACCTCAAAAAAGGTAAACCCTCCAAATCATGAATCAAGTTCCAAATATGAACTCAGTAATGAGGAGCTCCACTGTTATTGTTGATCACTTCAAAGACTCGTTGCGGCATGCTTTATGCCAGCGTTTCCATGAGGTGAGTGGGAACATTTCTCCAAGTGGTGAAGACGGCCGCATGAAGGACATCTACTGTCTGAAGCTGTTCTCCATTTCTGTAAACTTCCCTTGCCATCCATCCCCAAAGGTTCTCAGTTGGATTTAGATCAGGGGAACACGCAGAATGGTCCAGAAGAGTTTTTCTCCTGGAAGAAGTCCTTTGTCCTGCAGCATTGTGTACTGTAGCGTTATCCTACTGTACAACCCAGTGGTTACCACACAGACCAGGGCTCTCAGCAATGAGGGATGTTCTCTGCAACATCTGGACACAGCCATCGGCCGTTTATCTCCTGAAGCTCCGTTGTTCCACTAAAGCAGGGGTGTCCAAACTTT